CATTGCCAGCAGATATGACGACTCAACAAATAACCTACCAGAACAAATAACTGAAACAACAAGTAACCAGCCATTACAAGTTATTGACGTGGGGTTAGAGAATCGAGCAGCAAGTGACGAGGAGGAATAAAGTGATTCAACATGGTTGCCGGTTGAATTCTCAGAACCAAGCACCAAAGAAAGTTCTGAAGAGAGTTCAGACGAATGTAAAAAAAGAAAAGGGGGAATAATATTCGAAAACTGTACAGTAAGAATAAAATTTTGAACTATGTTTATTTGTACTAGTTTCATTTCTGACGGCCTCTAGTTGCCATCAGAGAACGAAATATAAAAGGTAAACTATTCTGGCTAGTTAAATAAATTTATTTGAATTTTTTTATTTCATTAAATCAAAGAAATACAAATTTTTAAGGAAAATTAAATATGTAAATTTCTTGCAATTATATTTTCTCTATTTAATAATTGAAATAATTTGAATCGAAAAAAAATAAATCAACTAAATAATTATACTAACTCAATAATAAAAAGCTCAAAAGAGAATTGCTTTTGAAAATTCTCACTAATCTAGGTTCAAACATATTCACGTCAAACATTAGTTTACAAAAATAATGAAGAATGCATGCTTCTGATAAGGTGTATTCAGTGTTAATTTTCTTGAAAATATATAAAAAGGTATGCATCCTTGAAATTATGATAAAAATAATAAAGAAACAAATTAAACATAAATGAAAGAGTAAAAGGCCATATATAAAAATTATATTGAACATTAATAAAAAGAACATCAAGAGCGTTGATTTTGTCACTAATTTTTTTTAATTCAATCATGGTCAATGAATCTTCTTCTAGGATGTTAACATTGTTTTTGAGAACTTCAAGTTCATTTGTTGGTGATTCACTGGCCGAAAAATATTCAGATGATTCAGAAATAATTGTGTCTATACAAAATTAATAATTAATATCTCTCTCACCATTAAATTTTAATTATAAATTCTTACCTTGAGAAAAAACTACCGGTAATGCTAATGAACTATATTCATTTTTCAGTGAAGGATATAAATTATTAAAGTAAATTTCTTCTTGATTGGGTGGGTATTCTCTTGGTTCAAATGATATTTTTATTTGTTTTATGTGATTAAAAAGAAGATAAAATTTAAGATTTTATTATTGTTAATTGAAAATTAGTGATTCAATTTGAGTTTCCAATTCGGTAAGCTTAGAGTTTTCTAATTCATAACATTTTGTAAAGATCTCGTTTCTATTCAACTGTCGTGATAAGAAATAT